GGAACGTTATTACGTAACAGTTCCCCCGAGGAGAAATGATTACTCTATATTTCCTTCCGTTTTGTCTTCTAAAACAGGATCACTAAAACAACTCTGTATATTGACTACACTTACTGTCCAACCCACATATTCACTATAACCTGTGAGAGTCAAGTCAACTTTCTTTATTATGTATCCCAGAAATTTCAACTGTTTCTTCAGTCAATCAGTGCAAGAATTGTGATGCCGGATATAAAACTATATCAAAGCCGTCAAATATTTCCTTTAACAGAAGAGGTGAAAATTGCTAAGAAAAAAGTATACTGACGTATACGACGTTGAGAATAGATCAACTATCCGTAGCGTCCCTTTTACATTAATATATACATACACACGCACACGAACACACACACACACACACACATATATATATATATATATATATATATATATATATATATATATATATAATAGAAGATGTCTATGTGAAGATGTCTGCCTGTGTGTGTGTGTATGCTAATAATGCACGTCCACATTTGTCGACTTACTTCGATGACATTGTACACACACATTGCGCAAGGTTTCCACCCCCACCCCAGAGTTTTTAGTGGGGGTTGTTCTGGCAACAATGGCTAATCTTATCTGACTCCCTCGTAAAACTTACACGACACCAAAAACCACACCCCCATTTCAAAATAAAAATGAGTAAAAAATTCCGTAGTATAGTTATTCTAAACAAAGCCTGAGGATGAGACTGACACCCGGTAGATAGGGTTTAAAATTGAAATTAAATCTTGATACTGCGGACCAGTTTCGAAACATAGTAATTTATGTGTCGCGATGGAATCATATTTCGTTTTTTTTTTTTAATTATAATCTAGGCTCTACTTGTGTATCGAGCACTGTTTTAAAAAATAAAAAAAAATACTAAAGAACTTCGGATCATCAATCTAACAGTTCTTTTCTATTATATCAACACACACACACACACACACACACATATATGCACACACAAACACAGACACACACACACACACATATATATATATATATACATATATATATATGTGTGTGTGTATATATATATATATATATATATATATATATATATATATATATATATACGATAAACGCAATCAATTTACAAATACATGAATTATTCACACAAAACTAATGTAAAGGTTAATGCTTTCAATGGCGAGACATCCATCATCGCAAACAATTCAAATAGTATACAAAAACCTCCAGATCGTAATTTAAATAACTGATCCAAGTGCGACTTTTGGATAATAAGTGCGACATTACTGTAATTATTGAACAATATAGTTCATGCCACTTTGACAGAAAAATTTACCAGTAAAAAAATTTGTTCAACACCATATTTGGTATAAACGCAAACACTTTAAAATTTTAAATCAAACTCAGCGTTGCTTTGGCGCGTTCCAAAACCAATAACTCATTTTCAATAGCATTTTCGGATACAACAACACATATTTTCGTTGTCCTCTTATTACTAAGAGAAAAAACCAAGAACAACATCTATTCTATACCTGAAGATGTCTGTAGGAACAGACGAAAGCTTGTAGTAAAAATAACAACTAATACGGCAGAAATTTATATAAACAAGGATCAATTCATTCATAACGGATCTGGAGGTTTTTGTATACTATTTGAATTGTTTGCGATGATGGATGTCTCGCCATTTAAAGCATTAACCTTTGCATTAGTTTTGTGTGAATAATTCATGTATATATATATATGTATATATATATATATATATATAAGTGAACATAGAAGTCAACACGTAGAGGCGACAGTCTGTTTCATGCTATATGTAATCGTCAGGCCATATAATATTACACAACAAAATCACAAATTACCTCATATGGTGGATTATAGATCTATTTGAACCAACAAGTATACAAACTGTTCGTGTAGGAATTAGAAATTTAAAATGTAACTTTGACAGCATTCGAAAAATTGATACAAAACCTATCCATATCGACGCTTCAGCCAGACGAAATGCCCGAGTCGGAGGTAGGGGGGGTGTAAAATATCTGTCTCACCGTGATGAGGCTCCACAAATACAACCCGGATATTAACTTTATGACCCTAAGTTGTGGTTCTATGAAAAATGAGTGGTTGATTTGAAAACTAAAAGAGGTCCGAAAAGGGATTTTGATATGTATATAAAAAAAAATAATTATATATATAAAAAAGTTAGGTCCCCACTTAAAAATTACCAAATTCTACCTTCAACTGAGATATATAAACAGGATTAACAGTCTACCATATTACAAAATATTTTTAAAAAATTATATTAAAGGGTAAAAGAAAAAATTAAAAAATAAGATAAATTATCCAATTCCAAGAATAAGTATTTATTCATTTTTCTTGTGTTAATCTCAGTAGTCAGTCACCTTTAATGAACTTTATATCAGAGGAATTTCTGTCCAAATAAACGATTTTATATATATATATATATATATATATATATATATATATATATATATATATATAT